TTTTAAAGTTGATATAAAGCATTAGAACAGTTGCAAATATATACTATAATTGAGGCTCCTATATATTGGCTCCTATATTTATTCATGATCAAGTCGATCATACCTGCATTATATATGCAAGACACTCATGGTACCATAAGATTAATATGTTAAAAAATGCACATTACAATCTGATAAAACGCAAAATGCCTTATATGCTTTTATCGAATATTTACTAGCTACAATCTGTAAGGAATACTGAGATTATCATAGTAAGAGATGAAGCTGGAACCTGTCTCAAATAATTCTTGTTCGTGCGTTCTATTGTTAGATATGACGCATCCTGTACTTAAATGCCACCTTTCGTTAACGGAAAATACTTCTGTCTGAGGCCAAAGGTCTTTAATTTCACTAAGATGAAATAGAGGCATGGTTATATATTCTAAATTTGAAAACGATCCCATCCCTGATCGTTGTGTTCATGCGCCATTCGTGGTAGGAAATTTGTGATCTTGATTGTCGTTTTCAGAGTTTGGGGGGCACTAGCTTCAAGGGGCACTTTTGGTTATAAAAAGTGCAACTGAAAATATGTAATGTATAGGACGGTTTGATTGCGAAAGCTGCAAGGACACCATTAGTGTGTTTATATTCATGCTCAACAAAATGATTTGGGCGCGTGTAAGTGGGCATACGCAGAAACCAAAAAGGGCACCTTTTGTCCCTTAAAAACTTCGCGGAGAGGGTACGATTCGGTTTTACAAAATAGTATTTCTAGCTACATTAGCTTCTCCCAAAACGCATTTTTCATCGCAAAAAGGGCACCGTTTGTCCCCAAAGAATTGAGGGAGGGCACGTATTTGGTAACATATTTTGTATCTAAATGAATATTTTTTAGTTTGAAAATGTTTTATATATCAACAGGTTTTATATACCAGGCAATTCGTACTGTATTGTATTGTTGCTTTATTAATATCGAGTCATGTATATATTTGAGAAAAGTATTTTTGTCCGCTTTCGTGCGTCATATTAGACAAACTTCGCATCTATATCAGTAGGCTAGCTTGTATTTTCAAAATTCCATCTATTCTTTAACATTCGTACGCATTGGAACGGATCTAAGTCATTTTAAAACATGTTTCAGTGTTTTACGTTCACTTTTTGTTATATTCTTGTCCAATCAGGAAGTTATTAGGACTTGCAGTCAAACATTCTCAGCTATTAACAATTGATAAGACGCCTAGAATTTGGCCAAACGAGCCTAAATAAAAATAAGGAAATATGTGGTCACGTGGTTAAAGCCGGTTTTCCCATATTCACCTCTTTTTCATCAATTCTATTGGGTAAAAATAACTGCGTTTTAACCAATAAATGAATGAGGCAACCAATTTTTAAATTAGTGCTATAGTTTAATATTATTCTACTAGCTTTTTGAATATAGCGCATGTACAGTCGACGAAGTTCGTTTTTTTTCCTGAAAAAACTTGATTAATTGCTCCAACTCAATATTGAATTTTAACCTTCACCCGTCAACTTGCATGGAACGCGTACTAATCATGCCAGACATTTTTGGCGTTCAATGCAGCAAGCTTTAAAATTTGATTAGAAGTTTTAATTCATGGTGTGACCACACGCCTTTAAGGCGGAAATAGTACTCAGCCAAAAATTATATGTCTGATGTTTACCGACCTCTTGATCAGTCAGGAAGCCTTTGTTATACATACATATCGGATGTCTGAACGAAATGAGAATTTGTTGCTCCAACCTTTCTCCGCGTGTTTGGGCTCCTGTTATAAGCACATTTTCGGTCGGACAGATGACATTCTGGTGAAATAGTCAAGCAAGTATACATTTAACATCTGATCTTTCATATTCTTAGTATAGATTGTTGAATAACCAGATTAGATTATTTTTTGAAAACCTTTAAAAGTATATATTCACAGCATGAATTCGGCCTGCTATCAACAAGCTGGATGCAAAAACATCAGCTGGTTATAACACAGTCCAGTGTGCAATTTGTTTATGCCTTATGCCTTTCGTTTAAGTGCGTGACCAAATGTTCTGTTTTATTTGCGTACAGTAATAATTGTTGCTAAATTTGGTGGCTTTTAAAGAATTGTTGACGCGCTGTGCAGACAAAACGTGAAATGTTATTAGTAAATCGTGTTTTGAATCGTATCATGCGCGCTGTTGTTTTAGTCGTCATAATTACTTCCATATTTTTCCCAGCACCATTAACTAATGAATAGTTAATATGTCCAGCCGAGACTTACGCCCGAGCTATATAAGTAAGCTGTAGCTATATAGTCGCTTTTAAATATCACCGCATGCATGTAGAGGCGAGTGTGCATGCCTGTGTGTATAAGTAAGTATAATTTCTTCTCGATCGGATTGTATGCATATTGCGAGACATTTTGCAAGTTCAGCACTAGCCAATATATAGCAACAAAGAATTAAAAAAATAACGTGGTCATATATATCGATATCAGTACCTGTTTACAAGTGGTTTTATCATCACGATATTATCAACTGTATTGCGCGTGATCATGCATCTTCAGTTGAATCTTCAAGCAGGTGTTTGTGTATCGAATACTAATACGAATTGAATATAGCTAAAATCAAGTGCCCTTTCTAACATGCAGTCATTATATATGATTAGAATAGCTTTATAGTAAAAATAAATGCCTCTTCTGTTGCAGAAAGTTAAATATGGTTGGTTTATAACTTAATATGCCATAACGACCTGCAATTCCACATAACGAATCTTTTCTAAGGAATAACGGCCATCCATGGTACTCCTCTCTATCAGGCCACGATGACTGAATAGAAATAGATAGTTAATCATGCACGAAGTATGCACTTACTAAAAAGAGTTTCCAGAATACTAAAGGAGTTCATTTAAAAAAAGAGCTAATGTGTCAGATAATTGCATAAGTAAAAATAACAGTGACGGTGTTTATGTGTAGTTTTGTTGCTGAATTGGCAACATTGGAAAGAGTAAAAATAGTACATTGTGAAGAATCTTTGCAAATTGTTGTGAAATCATGAAAATTTTTGCCATCGAAGTTTGTATGCTTTTTTGTATTTACCGCGGCTTAGAAATTCTTATTGTATTCGACATAATATATGCAAACTTAATTAAAGATATTCTGTTTTCATTATAGCTAATGCAAATTTCCTATTATGGGCGTAATATTGTTAAAGATCTAAATATAATCTCATGATTGTCACGTTCTATGTTCTAGCTAGATTGAATTACTTATATAATAGGCATTGTTCTCCAAATCTTTTCCGTGTTCTTCCTACACCTTTTCCGCCCTCTTTTCCCAGAGGAAATTAAACTTTGCCCTAACTCATTTTCAGTAAGATAGTGTTTATAATATAGTTGTATTCGTTATTTAGTATTATTATTCAAGGTCACGTTTGTAACAAAATAAGCATTGAAGTAACATGTTCTTCTCTGAACGAAGAATATTTGCTATAACTAAAAATATATGCTATTTATGTATTCATTTTAACGTAAGCTTAAAGCGGTGTTACAGTGGCTTCTGCTCATGCATGCATGTGTGTAGGCCACAATTGCTGAAATTTTGCATGACGTTTTTCTGAACATAAAGCAGCTTATATATTCATGTAAAACTCTCAATAGCGAACCGAAATAGTGTTAAATATTCTTAACATTCTGAAATATTCTGTTTTTGATAATTTAAGTAATACCGTGATCCAAAATATGTGTTAATATAAATATATTTATTATATATTATATATTATATATTATATTATATATATTAATAATATATATATTTTACATGCATGCTTAAAGTTTATGGTTTTCACAAATGTTAGTTTAAGTATGCATGCTACTGCAGTGTAGTGTGAAATTCGCAACACGGTCTAGAAAAAATGCAAATTTGATCTTACGTGAACAATTATTGGTGGTCTTTTATATCTAGTTAAAATGAAAGCTCTTTTATATGCCTTAATTTCTCGAAATACCTATATATAGTTCGTAGAAATTAAAAATTGCGTCCATCGCAAGTTATTCTTGGCGTGTATATATTCAATTCAGAAGATATATAGGCTAATTTCTGCATGTAGTTCAATACCTTTTTAAAGTTTTTTCTTTTTTTCTTTTAGGTTATCGTTCGGTGCGTGATTTTTGTGAAATTAGTGAAGACTTTTAAAATAATTCAATTGAAAAATGATTTTTAATAAAGATAGACATGCGGTAGAAACTGTTTTCCTGGCATCAACACTCTTTGTGTTGTTTTCCTGTTGCATTAGTGCACTGCCGTTTACGGTCAAACCAGATGAAATAGCGACTGTTTTTGGGAAGGCGTTTACTTACAAACTGCCTGCTGAGATGTCCACGCATCCTGGTTATACATTTAAGGTAAAAAAATTACATGAGAATTGTGTGAGAAACACTCGACATGCATGCTGGGAGTATAAAGTATGTTTTCTTTGATGAGTCGTCGTTATCTTCTTAATCTATTTTGCTTTTGTTCGCGTTCCACTCTATCGCCCCAAGGTGCCTTCAATCGCCCCAACATGTTACATCAATGTTCCTTAAAGAAAACTTATATTCCTTGCCGGAAAATTATGAAGGTCTATTAACTTAACTTACTATATGTTATTTAGTTCCATGCGCTCGATAGCTCAGAACTTCCCTCCTGGTGGAATTCGTGGCCGCAAGAAATCTCTTTGTTGGAGTTCCATCGTCGCATCACGACAAGGGTTCACACACTATCCGACTTGATGTCATTAACGACGAAACAAACAAAACAATCGACACAATCAATTTTCTCACCATAGAAGTCGTTGAATATGAAGAGGATTTAAACCACTTCAGGGTATTACGCACAAACACTTGACAGATCCTAATAAGAATACATCACGATCGTCTTTGAGTTGCCCCAATCACGCACCTGTTATTGTAGCCACTCTTGTATTTGATTTAACCGCAAGAAAATTATCTGGTGCAAAGCGAGTTGAGTTGTTGAATAGTGTTTCCAAATGGACCGATGTTGATGTAAACGAACCGCGTTGGATGCCGGGCAAGGGGGAGAAGACTGCATTCAACTTGGAAGAAGTCATTGTATTGACTGCGGGACCAGGCGGAGTAAGAGATCCTCAGGAAAGAGGGGTGCTGTGTCATGGAAGATTGGATGTGGCGATAGTATTACAGGTTTGTGTGTATATATGGTTAAATAACAGCGATGGATTTTCATGTTCAAGTGGCAAAAGTGTCACGAGTGAGTACAAGTGAGAACATTCCTCCATGTATTTACGGAACTGTTTAGTGTTCGATCTACATCTGCATGAAATTCAGCATGTTAATGGTTAACACTCCAACAAAAAACACAACAATACGGTTTACGTTCCTGCTATACATTTTATAGTGAAAGATATTTTAAAGACGGTAAATCACTTATGTTCCCTTGTTCTCCTTTTTCCATTTACTAAATCATCCTTTTTCGGGCTGACCATGATGTTTTGCATATCTCTATTTTCAAAAGTGACTCTCGTTTTCGTTCTATTATAGAAAGTGAAAAAAGTTACGGTTCTGTTAGCCACCTCAAGTCTGCATCTCAAACTGGAGCATTCGAGAAAGAACTGAACTCACCTGTAATTGGATGGCATGTTACGTATGGTCGAGTGAAGCGTCGCCGAGTGGTTCGAGTTCGTCGTCAAGCACTGGCACAAACGCCAGTGCCAACATCTGCTTTCGTAACGCCAACGGCAGCTATTTCCACTCGTGTCATTGGTACTCCGTCCATGACAAGATCGCCCAGTCTCCTTAGCGTTACTCCTACTGCCATAAGAATTGTTCCCTCTACGACCCAAATATCGGGCCCACCAACCACGACTGTTGCTCCGACCGCACCACCTACAAACACCCCACCTTATCTAGATAAACCTATAAATGTTTAACTGCGCAGGTTAACGAGCCTTTCTCCTTCAATATTCCTCCCAACACTTTTTACGATAAGGAGGACGGCCCTACGCCTATCTTCAACTGGATATATTCGACCCTCTTGGAAATCCTCTGCCTACCGACAGCTGGGTAACGCTTGACCCGCAACTTCAAAAACTTCATGGCATCCCGAAAGATATTGGTGACACACAAATTTCTTTAGTTGTGACTGACAGCGGATTCTTGAAATCTGAATTACACGTGGTCACTATAAGAGTGAATGTTGCCCCGAGCGTACCAATGTCCACTGTTTCTACACCACCTAAAAACACCCCACCTTATATAAACAATCCTATAAATCTTTGACGCGCGGATAGACGAGCCTTTCTCCTTTTTTATTCCTCGCAACACTTTTCTCGATAGAGAGGACGGTGAAACGCCTGATCTTCAACTGGAAATGTATGACCCGCGTGGGGATCCAATAAACACTGGGTAACGCTTGACACGACACTTCAAAGACTTCATGGCATTCCGAAAAGTGTTAATGACACAAGAATAGCTTTAATTGTCAGTGACAGCGAAACTTAAAATCTAAGCTACTCGTGGTCACTATAAGAGTAATGACTCCCAATAAACCGCCTTATCTTTATAACCATATTGACCTGATCTCTCTCTACGTTGGTGAACCGATCGCTTTTAAAGTGCCTCACGATACATTTCACGATGCGGAAGATGGCTCAACTGAAATCTTACACTTGTAATGAAAACTGCGGACCACGAGTCATTGGATGACTTTCCATGGATCGAGTTCGACGCCAAAACTCATACTATTTATGCTCTTCCAGTTGATGTTACGATTGGCAAATATGAATTTTTGATGTTTGCATTTGACAGCGAAGGGTTGAAAACGGTAGATGCTTTCGAGTTTCATATCAACCCAACATCCGTCGCGCCCAACCACCAATTTGGTCTCGTTCTAGACGCTGATTTCAAGAATTTCGATAAAAGTGCTGCAACTAGGGTTAAGCTGTTCTTGGAGATTGGTAACTATTTCGGGGACCATTTCAACACCTCTTATCGTGACATTCGTGTAGAGAAATATGAGAAAGGTAGCATTACTCGAGTGGAATTTTGCAAATATTGCCACTAACGTTACGGGTGTGTTTGATTACAAAAGTAGATACATTCTTGGTGGAGACCAGCCAGTTAACGAGTTCAAAAACCGTATAGAATCATCGTGTCCGATGTCCACAGGATGTTCCGTTACGAAGTTTGGGTGAAAGTATCTTTGCCGGAACCTACAACCGTCGATCCGAATGTCGTGGGCAGAACTGACGATGATGACGATGGAACGTGGTGGGAATACACGATCATTCCAGCATTTGTTGTTGCCGGTTTGATCCTCATCATCGGGTTGATAATTATCATTTGTATACGTTGTCGGCGTAAAACAGACTCGAGAAGAACGAAAATGTTGTATTCGTTCAGAGGAAGAAACCTGCTGTGTTTAGAGAGGAATATCCGATGAGGGAAGTGTATGGTAATCAACCCCTGATCACACCTAACGAGAAAGCGCCTCTTCCCCCTCCTGCCTACCCTCGGAGTTCAACCCCAACTGAAGATCCAAGTGAACGTCTGTTAAGTGACAGTTCGCCGTCATATCAACCGCCATTCGACAGTGGACATGAACCTGCAGGAAATTCTCGCCCATCGGTAGCTAGTTACCGTTTGCCTCCTCCTTATGTGGCTCCATAAACTTCCCAAACATTTTCTGATTCAATATTTGTAACATGAACTGTCTAGCCCGTTAAGGGTAAATTTTTAAAGATCTATAACAGTAAAGTTTGTTCGTTCAGTAGAGATGTACAGTATATACGTCCCTTTCTTACAAAACGTAGGTGTAATTGCTCCTTGATTCGGAAAGAGGTTATCTCCAATCATAGTGTGGGTAAACGCTACAATATTTCTATTGAATACGCCAAGTTGCCGCTACTTGGTTTTTTTACTCAGCTCATGTACATGCAGTAATTAGTAAAATTTCAAAATCTATCGGAAATACCAAATAAACTGACCAATCAATCAACCCACTACTTGAAACGTTGTCTTAGAGAGTTGGAAAAGTATAATAATCGATCGAAAAATATACGTACGATTAATTGTAAGATCGACCACTTCTATAACACAACGTGATCGTGTTCATTGTCAGGAATCGAAAGTAAAGTTTTACTAATATTGCGGTTGAGAACAATTATGACTGGAGATTGTCTTTTTATTTCAAAAGAGAAATATTGATAGCATTTAAGAAAAGGATTTACAAATTCGACATATATGAACCTCATGGGCGTATTTTCAGCGCTTGCTAGAACTGTTACTGTTAACACGTTCTGTTCTTCTCGTAGAACATTAAACAAAGTTTGTGTATCGTTCTTAACTCTTTTTAGGAGTAAAACTGTTGGATGTAGAAAAAAATATATACAAGTTTTATTTGGATCTTTTGTCGTGAACGCTGTTTGTGCGCTATATGTCACTACGTGTAGAATTTTTTTCATACGTTTACATATCCATTATTCGTACCCAAGAAAAGGAAAATTATTCCTAATCGTATGACTTGCATGGACCTATTTCAAAATTGGACAAGTATTGTACATGCATGTATAGCTATTCGCATTTATTAATACTAGGCCACTTCAGAAAAAAAATGCTTATAATTGTTGCAAGTGATTAAATACAAATACACTTATCAGTTCTACTTTCAAATATGGTTTTTATATTGAAAGTAAAAAGGAGATAAGATAATTAGATAATAAGATAATTATTTTAAAGGAGATAATTATTTCTTGTTCTATGGAATGATCCGTTTTGTTAAATGAAAGAATTTCAAAATTTGGTTCAATTAATAGTTTGTATAACAAAACTAATTTAGCTAATAATAAGTAGCAGCTGTTAGGCTTTGTTCAAAAAATATTTACCCCACCTGCGCATACCTCACACGATGCATGCATGCGCTTATCAAAATTAAAATTGCGTTTTCGCACGGAAACACGGTGATTTGCCACTTGGCGAATTTATTCGTGCGGTGCGCGAAGCGAAATCTGAAATCAGTTCAATGTCTGAAATCTGGCCTTCCAGTGTTGTGATTGGTCTGTGAAAATATTCGCCGAGAGAAAGTGGGATTCATTACTACGAATTCGCCTAATTTCAAACAGTGAAAAATTTATTTTAGGCACTATATGGAAGTTTTTTGAGCTATTATACAGGGTGTATCAAAAAAAAGGTAATCCAACTTCAACGCGCTATTGTACGTGAACTACTCAGTCTATGAACGAAATTTTTTCACATTCGGAAAGATCAGGCTTTTAGCTATCGGATGTCATGCTTTTAATGCCAAATGGAGAAAAAATGAGCACATACGAGGCTGATAAAAAATGTTAGTCACAATCGCATATTTTCACCTCTGAGCCTAATTAAAGCAGTGCATAACAAAAGAAAAAACAATTAATCACGAACATGTCACAGCTTGCACTGGTTTTACAACTTGTTTATTGCAAATTATTTACATTTACACTTTAAAGAGATTATGCGCCAATGCCTTCAACGTGACCACCATCTCTATCGATACAGAGTTGACATCGCCGCCGCATTGCTTGGAATGTTCTCCTGATTAGCGCAGGATTATCTCTCAACGCTTCAACTTCATGTTGAATGCGATTCCGCAAATCATTTAGATCATGTGGTGGGCTTGTGTACACTTTATTCTTTAGGTAACCCCAAAGAAAGAAATCGCAAGGAGTAAGGTCAGGGGATCTTGGTGGCCATTCTACGTCATGGTGGAGGGCAATCACGCGATGACCAAACAGTTCTCTTAACCGATCGCGGACTGCAATTAAACGATGTGCTGGCGCACCGTCTTGCACCCACCAGAGATTTCGGAATGCCCCTTCAATTTGCCTCCGAAAATGTTGCTGGAGTTGTGGCACCACGTCGTTGTTTATCATTTGGAGATAAATTTGTCCAGTGACATTTCTTTCAAAGAAAAATGGACCAATTATCTGGCCGCTGCCACAAAGTCCAATCCAAACCGTCAATTTTTCGCGACTGATGTTGACCTCATAGTTGAACTCGGGCGGTTGTCCTGCTGCGGCATACTCTCTAACGTTGTGGGAGTTTACTTGGCCGTTCATGGCAAATGCAGCTTCATCTCCAATAACGAATGGCCGAAGGAAATCCTCGTTTCTCTCGTAATGATCACACAGCCATCGCGCAAACTGCATTCGCCTAGCATAGTCTCGAGGAAGGAGTTGGTGTCGGATCTGCATGCGGTAAGGGTGCATGTTTAGATCTAGCCTCGTTATCCTATTAAAAGTAGCGGATGGTAGGCCAACACCATTCCGTCTTGCGCTTGTACCTGTCGGATGCTCAGCCAATCGCTGTCTTGCTGCCTCGATGTTGGCTTCTGATCGTCCAGTGCGACGTCTGCCTGAATTTCCCTTGTTTTGATTCAAGGTTGTACCGTGTTGGGAAAACTTTCTCACATTCGCCCAAATCGTTTTAAGTGCAGGCGGTTGCCGCTCAGGGAACCGTTCCCTGAATGTCTCACGAGTTCTTTGCAAACTTCTGGTTTCGAAAAAGGTTTTGATGACGAAAGTTCGTTGTTCTACCGTAAGTTGTACCATGTTTGCATTTATTCGATGAGTGAGATTTATTCCTACTTAATATGCATATGCGGATAGTTTATTCAGAAGCGAAATTCTTCAATTAAGACCCAAAGGGAGTTAATTTTCAATGGTTTTAGTCCCAACTCTCAGAGGTGAAAATATGCGATTTTGACTAACATTTTTTATCAGCCTCCTATTTGCTCATTTTTTCACCATTTGGTATTAAAATCATGTCATTCGATAGATAAAAGCCTAACCTTTCGGAATGTGAAAAAATTGCGTTAATAGGACGAGTAGTTCACGTACAATAGCGCGCCAAAGTTGGATTACCTTTTTTTTGATACACCCTGTATACATATATACATATATACATATATACATATATACATATATACATATATACATATATACATATATACATATATACATATATACATATATACATATATACATAATACATATATACATATATACATATATACAATATACATATATACAATATACATATACATATATACATATATACATATATACATATATACATATATACATATATACATATATACATATATACATATATACATATATACATATATACATATATACATATATACATATATACATATATACATATATACATATATACATATATACATATATACATATATACATATATACATATATACATATACATATATACATATATACATATATACATATATACAATAACATATACATATATACATATATACATATATACATATATACATATATACATATATACATATATACATATATACATATATACATGGTTGGCGAGTGTGTACAATTTTTATGCACGAGTTGTGAAGGATCGCAATATGAACGAGTGAGCGCAGCAAATGAGGGAGTTTGTGATCCTTTCGCAACGAGTGCATAATAAAAATCGTACAAACGAGCCAACCATGAAGTAATTGTTTATTAAATGTGCATAGAGATCAATTTGACAACGACACGCCTTTAAATATACAAAAAACCAGCAAACAACAAAATCGAAACTTTATGCATGAAAACATGTTTATTACTGTTCAGTTTCTTTGTAATTTTGTTCAATAAAAGTTAGACATTCTTTCCAAAGATTTGAGATGTTGCTGAATGTAAAAATATCTTGAATATGAGAATTATGTTTTGAATCTCACTCCTATATTTCGATGCCATCTTGAAAGAAAATGTGAACAAATTGCCGCCAAAATGACATATGATAATTTTTTACATGTGAAGAATATCGTACATCCAATCAAAAGTTGTGTATGGCATTTTTTCACACGTGAAAAACATTGTATGTCCAATCAAATTGTGCAATCTGATTGGCTCCCTACTAGACAGATATTAGCATATATATATCTAGTAGAGAAAAGTAAACAAAATGGCTGAAAGATTTAGGGAGTTAAAGCCAACAAAGTTCTTGATGACTTTGTCAAAGATTTAAGACAGTCTAGGAAAATAGCTGGCACAGTTCACAAGAAACCAATTTCAAAAGAAGAAATTCAGCAGCTCTTCCGTTCCGGTGAATTAGATCCCGCCAACTCGTTAGACCCCGCACAACTGTTCGCACAGTTTGGTCTTACTTGAGTTTTACTTTGGAAAAAGCGGTCAAGAAAACCAACGGCTCCTGAAGCCAAAGCCTCCTTAAAGCATCTTAACCCAGCCTGTGAGAGCTTGTTCCAGCGTCCAAAAGATGCGAATGCCAACAAATTTGATGTCAACAACTTGATCTGGTATGCAAATTGTCCTGTCTATGAGAGGACTCTCAGCAATTTGCTTCGTGTCATGACAGGTATCGAACCACCCTTAACTAACTACTCCATTAGGGCCACATCCGTAACAGTTTTAGCAAACGCGAATGTTGAGACCTGTTTAATCAAATCAATCACTGGCCACAAATCCGACACAGCGATCGAGTCATACAGCAGCCGGCCATCCTCTAGTCAACAAGAAGTTATGTCTTTGATTTTGAGTAACTACATCAGCCAGAGCAAATCGGTAGCTGCTTCAACCATACTTGAGGACAAAGAGAATCAGGTTCAACAAGAATCTTGTATTTCTGCTTCATCTGCCAAACACAACCATCAAATTACCGTTGTCAACAAACAGCACCAAGGGATCCACTAAATCAAGCGAAGAGCTTTACGGCTTCAAGTCTGGTGTTTCAAATTCAAAACTGTACAGTTAACATTTATAACTGAACTTCATGGATTTCATTCTTTAATCGGTCGCAAAGACGTTTTTAACTGTTAAAAATTGTTCAGTAATGTTGATTTTATAATGATTTCAAAGCGATCGAACTTGCATGCCATGCTTGATTAAGTATTCAGTTTACTGCACATGACGGAAGTAAAAAGGTTGAATTATTGAATTACTGAGTAAAATATTTCAGTTATTAATTATATTACGAATAAATTTGAAAATTTTTTTTATTCTGTTGCTTGTGTATATAATAAAACAGATATTCTGCTCACTCTCGTCGTATATGACTGTCAGCGCATATACGACTCGAGTTCGCAGAATAACTGTTAAGTACAAATATGCCAGGTGTCCCAGAAAAAAGTACTCCGGTTTGATTCATAATAGCTTCTAAACTAGCTAAGCTATTAAACTAAAATAACTGTCACTAGATAGACAGAAGACTAACTTAGATTTTGATATATTACAGTTGTATTTTACCTAAAAAATTTATGGAGATATCAGTGTTCAAAATTGGTAGCATATTTCTGGATGTGTCTAAATTATGCAAAAAACGCCGTATCAAATATTAATCAAGCTTTTCTCAACTGAAACATGCACTATTAGCAGTTA